AAATACAAACAGCATATGTCGAAATGACCCACATCGGCCTTACTGGACTTTCAGTGGGTGCGTAACAGGATATCCAGAAAAAGCATGTTTACTCGTAAGAAATCGGGCTAAAAGTACGAATAGCTGCTGAAAACAAGGGATCAGACTATAGACGGCACATAGGTCGTTCAACCGGGTATGACGACGGATCGCCTACTCACCTGGCATGAAATGCATGTGCTGCCTTCTGGCGCAAGGGGTCTTCTCAGAGATATTTAATGCTTGTTCATGTATGTCGATTATGTCTCATCTATTGATTAACATCTTATGTGTATTTCTGTATTAAGGGGTCCGTTGAGATATGTAAAAGAGTATGATACCCATAGAATGCTTTATTCAGCCATTGTCTCCGAATATATAGATGGCATGACCACCCAAAGATCGACAGGGCTGAATATTATTTGTAAATTGTTATGACATACCGTTTACTTCTCAATATAATTCCCCTAAAGGGTTATCTATCTTATCTGATATCCCCATCCCCAAGCCCGACCCCAACCACCGTCTGCGACACCCGTCCAGGTTTTGCTTTTGAGACGACCCTCCTACCTGTTTGCTTTTATAGTGATAGTGAGACACCATGGAGCTACATCCTTTAATAGTACGTCGCATCACCTGAATAGAGAAGTTGTTTATCCATAAATTTTGTCCTTACCTGTTGTTGATTTTTTTTAAAACTAATATGATCAATTACAACCTTCGATTGATTTGTTTCTTAAATAGATATAAACTGACAGATTAAATTAGCAACTGAGATAGTTGGTAGCTGTATCCTCAAGGGGGGTTAAAGTATTCTACAACTAGTAAAATTATTGTTCTCTACGTAAGAATATGTATTAGGTATTCAATCGTAGAATATAATGTAGTAATTATTCGTGGCGAGCTGTGTGAATAATCGCCAACATCTGAGGGGACGGAGTAAATCCAGCTGGGGACCATTCAGGAAGCAAAGTGAATGTAAGTCTCCATGGTGTCTAGTATGGAGATCTACCTTCGGTTGTTGGCGATACATAACCCGTTTCTGTATTGTGTTGTGGAGAAAATATTATTGTATTGTTACTTGCTAGTTTAAATCTAAAGCTGTGATATTCTAGTTATTTTATTGTCCTTTTTTGACAGGTTTTCATATCGTTGAAGATTTATTTCTTTTTATGAATAATAGGTCTCATCGTCATTATATGGCTGAAAATACTGCCAATGTGACTTTAGGTTTTAACTCACTCACTCATCCCTCGTTTCGTGTGATTAAAGCCCTGCTTTAGATGCTGCAACTGTGACATCAAATGTGTGGTCCCTATGGCATCTATGAACCCCTCGGCGACTATCTGGGTCACAGATTTTTCAACCTTTCATTGGATTATGTCTGGCAATGTTGTGTGTAGAAGATCAGATTGTGACGCGACTCTTGGATGCACTTAACTCTGATCTGTTCAGCCACATCCGGGGGTCAATTGTCTGTCCTTGAGCAAGTTCTGGACCTGGAGCATGGCACATACGCATCCACCATGTTCGAACAAACGTACTGATAACATGCGTCATGACAATGCACCTGAATCGTTATCGATCATCATAACTGCAGCGACTGGCCCGACCGTGTTTTGTTTAGTTGTATAAAAATATTCCAATTTAGTACTGTTTGTGAAGCCCAATGTCAGTACAGATCCCACATGAGTTAACAGTCAGTCTGTGGCATGCATGGGGGATGAGGCGCTGAGACGTGATGAATGACACCATGAAATAGGTCAATAGTGATCAAAAGCTGTTTAGATCACAATAAGGTATTGTTGACCAACTATCGCTAGATCTCAGCACTAAATACTAATATTTATTATGAAGTTATCAATTGAAATTTAAAGAAACATGCACACGAATACATAGCGAATGCTGCGAGTTACGTTAAGAAATCTTGGGGAGCGCAGGAAGCAAAAGTTGTGTCCCATGCCTTCTACATGTATGTGTCAGGAAGTGTCAGGACGTTTGGTGGAAGTATCGGTTCATGTGTATTGAGCAAGTGTGAGGGCATCATTTAGGAGTGAAGCCTGCTGTGTGTTCGAGATGTATGGACACTGAAGAGTACATGCCACGTATTGTAATTTGGAACCGAACGCTTAAGAATGCATAGTCCTACCATATTTGAAATGGGTTTCACAAGGAATACAGGAGCCCCATTAACCAATCAGAATCAAGCATTTTTCAATGTCATGTCAGATTGTGAAGTAAGTATCAGGACATTTTCATTTTGCACGAAACAGCGCATGTCCAAGCAACATATATCAGGTCTACGTTGTGTGGCACGTAGCAGGTCGTCACCCTGTAGAAAATATACGGCCATTCTCAAGCATAATGTATCATGTCGTATTATTGTGTGTCAGCGTCATTATGTAGCAAGTATCAACTACATTGTTGTATTTGCAATATCTTGCCGTCATGGCAACGTGTATCAAATCAGTATGCTCTTGCTTAAGTCTGTGAGTGGGCGTACTCATAAACCTCAATCCTTGACTCATTGTCCTTGACCACTGAATCACTGCCAATCTTCACACACACTGCGTTATACAATTCAATGTTGTGACAATAAAGTAAATAATAGTAATATATTTTATTAGTGTTACGTACAGCTTAGAAGTGAGGGTTCATATACACATATACATATTTACATGTCGTAATATAATACAAGGAAAGGCACATGTATTACAAGACAAGTTCGAACCAGCGAACAGGCCAGTAAGTGCCAGGGGACACATTTCTTCCTGGTATCTTGTGTCCGACTTTTAGACGCTGCACGTTGTTATTTCCATAATAAGTATGTATTCACATCCTATCAATTTGTGTAATATCCCATAATCCAAGCTGGGGATATTATAAACATCATCTTCCTCATTTTTGTCGAATTAAATGTATAACAACATCTCCAATGTTCAATATTTTTTGGAATGTTAGGTGGAGTGACTCCCTACTCTGACGCCATTTAAGGTGAGACATGAACCCCACACAGTCTGAAGATATATACATTATGTACATGTGACTACTGGCTCGGAGTCCATTGAGTCACTGAAATAATACCATTCTGATATACACAATACTGTTAGTATTAAAGTGATATGTTATGTGTCAAATACTGACGCATGTGCTATTCATATATTGGTGTTTTGTCACCTGTACATGATAGAGCGATACTCCAGGTTCATATGAATATATGGTAATTACAACATATGGCTTTCTTGTCAGGTGAATGTCGATTCGATATTTTAGAATCTGGAAACCTGAAGTCAAGTGTTCTGTCACCACATCTGATGGACACAGTAAGCCCCAGTTCCTTTTTCAGAAACAGTTTGAGATACTGCTTCCTTGACACATACGTACACAGTGAAATGGATGCTCAAACCCAAATAATGTCGTCCAAAGTGATAAACATCTGGGCAAGAAGACGCCGATGACGTTTACCGTCCACTGTGCAACCGGTGATATCCAATGGTATATGCTTGTATTTGAGACGATAAGGAGGAGGAGGATTGTTCACATGGTGTTATTGAATGGTTGGACTTGTGCCAGGAGTGATGACGACAATAGAGACTGTACAGGGGTGGATAGATGCTCAACCCTCAAACGATGATGACATGGAAGACAATGCTGACGCGACGATTGTGCCAGATGTCGACTGGACAACAGGTGTTGATGCTGGTGTCACTGACAACGATAACTGCATAGAAGACGACGCTGAAGTGATTATTGTGGTAGCTGTCGATGTAGCAACAGGTGATGAGGACTGTGTTACAGCTGACGTTGATTGCAGTGACGACGATTCGGAAGCAGTGATTGTGGCAGATGTCGTTTGGGTAACAGGCGATGATGACTGAAGAGAAGACGTTGCTGAAAATTGTGTCGAAGTCGATGTTGACTGTATAACTGGAGTTGTGGATTGTGTAACGGGCAACGACGATTGCAATGACGAAGACGATGAAGCAGCAATTGTCGCAGATGTTGACTGGGCAACAGATGATGTCGTAGGTGTCACTACCGACGATGATTGTATAGAAGATATTACAGACGTTTGCTCTGAGACAGACGTCGACTGTTCAGCAGATGATAACTGCAATGACGACGATGTCGAAACTGCGATTGTGGCAGATGTCGACTGGGCAACGGGCGTTGATGATGATGCTGAGGCAGCGATTGTAGCTGACAATGATGTTGAAGGAGTGATTGTAGCAGACACCGACTGGACAACAGGCGTTGAGGGTGATGCAGAAGTAGCGATTGCAACCGACGTCAACTGGGCAACAGGCGTTGAAGATTGTGTGACAGCTGACGATGACGTTGTAGGAGTGATTGTAGCAGACGTCGACTGGACAACAGGCGTTGAAGATTGTGTGACACTTGACGATGATGTAGGAGTGGTTGTAGCAGACGCCGACTGGACAAGAGGTGTTGAAGATTGTGTGACACCCGACGATGATGTTGAAGGAGTGATTGTAGCAGACGCCGACTGGACAACAGGCGTTGAGGGAGATACTGAAGCAGCAATTGTGGCAGACGTCGATTCGGCAACAGACGTTGAGGATGATGCAGAAGTAGCGATTGTAGCAGACGTCGACTGGACAACAGGCGTTGTAGATTGTGTTACAGCTGACGATGATGCTGAAGCAGCGATTGTAGCAGACGTCGACTGGACAACAGGCGTTGTAGATTGTGTTACAGCTGACGATGATGCTGAAGCAGCGGTTGTAGCAGACGCCGACTGAACAACAGGCGTTGAGGGAGATACTGAAGCAGCAATTGTGGCAGACGTCGATTCGGCAACAGACGTTGAGGATGATGCAGAAGTAGCGATTGTAGCAGACGTCGGCTGGGCAACAGGCGTTGAAGATTGTGTGACACCTGACGATGATGTTGTAGGAGTGATTGTAGCAGACGTCGACTGGACAACAGGCGTTGAAGATTGTGTCACAGCTGACGATGATGTTGTAGGAGTGATTGTAGCAGACGTCGACTGGACAACAGGCGTTGAGGGAGATACTGAAGCAGCAATTGTGGCAGACGTCGATTCGGCAACAGACGTTGAGGATGATGCAGAAGTAGCGATTGTAGCAGACGTCGGCTGGACAACAGGCGTTGAAGATTGTGTCACAGCTGACGATGATGTTGTAGGAGTGATTGTAGCAGACGCCGACTGGACAACAGGCGTTGAAGATTGTGTCACAGCTGACGATGATGTTGAAGCAGCGATTGTAGCAGACGTCGACTGGACAACAGGCGTTGAGGGAGATACTGAAGCAGCAATTGTGGCAGACGTCGATTCGGCAACAGACGTTGAGGATGATGCAGAAGTAGCGATTGTAGCAGACGTCGGCTGGGCAACAGGCGTTGACGACTGTGTCACAGCTGACGATGATGTTGTAGCAGCGATTTGTAGCAGACAGACTGGACAACAGGCGTTGAAGATTGCAGACGATGAAGTGAAGTGGTTGTAGCAGACGCCGACTGGACAACAGGTGTTGAAGATTGTGTGACACCTGACGATGATGTTGAAGGATTGATTGTAGCAGACGTCGACTGGACAACAGGCGTTGAGGGAGATACTGAAGCAGCAATTGTGGCAGACGTCGATTCGGCAACAGACGTTGAGGATGATGCAGAAGTAGCGATTGTAGCAGACGTCGGCTGGGCAACAGGCGTTGACGACTGTGCCACAGCTAACGATGATGTTGAAGCAGCGGTTGTAGCAGACGCCGACTGGACAACAGGCGTTGAGGACAACTGAAGCGTTGTAGATCGATGTTACAGACGTGAGGATGATGCAGAAGTAGCGATTGTAGCAGACGTCGGCTGGGCAACAGGCGTTGACGACTGTGTCACAGCTAACGATGATGTTGAAGCAGCGGTTGTAGCAGACGCCGACTGGACAACAGGCGTTGAGGGAGATACTGAAGCAGCAATTGTGGCAGACGTCGATTCGGCAACAGACGTTGAGGATGATGCAGAAGTAGCGATTGTAGCAGACGTCGGCTGGGCAACAGGCGTTGTAGATTGTGTTACAGCTGACGATGATGCTGAAGCAGCGATGGCGGCAGACGTCGACTGGACAACAGGCGTTGACGACTGTGCCACAGCTAACGATGATGTTGAAGCAGCGGTTGTGGCAGACGCCGACTGGACAACAGGCGTTGAGGGAGATGCTGATGCAGCGGATTGCTGAAGCAGACGTCGATTCGGCAACAGACGTTGAGGATGATGCAGCGAGAAGCGATTGTAGCAGACGTCGGCTGACTGGTACAAGATGATGTTGAAGCAGCGGTTGTCGCAGACGTCGACTGGGATGCAGTGCGTTGATTGATGATGCTGAAGCAGTGATTGTAGCAGACGTCGCCTGGAGCAACAGGCGTTGAAGATTGTGTGACGGCTGAGGATGATGCTGAAGGAGTGATTGTAGCAGATGTCGTCTGAGCAACAGGCGTTGAGGATGATAAGGAGGAAGTGATGGCAGCAGACGTCGGCTGGGCAACAGGTGCTGAAGATGATGTTGAAGCAGCGATTGTCGCAGACGTCGACTGGGCAACATGCGTTGAAGATTGTGTGACGGCTGACGAGGATGTTGAAGGAGTGATGGCAGCAGACGTCGACTGGACAACAGGCGTCGAGAATGATGGGGAAGCAGCCGTTGTAGGAGAAGTCGATTGGGAAACAGACGTTGAAGATGATGCTGAATTAGCGATTGTCGCAGACGTCGACTGGGCAACAGGCGATGAGGATGATGCTGTAGCAGCAATTGTAGCGGATGTCGTCTCGGCAATAGGCGTTGAAAATGATGCTGAAGCATCGATTGTGGCAGATGTCGACTGTGCAACAGGCGTTGTGGATGATGCTGAGGCATTGTGACGATGTGTCTCGGCAATAGGCGTTGAAAATGATGCTGAAGCATCGATTGTGGCAGATGTCGACTGGACAACAGGCGTTGAAAATGATGCTGAAGCAGCGATTGTGGCAGATGTCGACTGGACAACAGGCGTTGAAGATATCGCTGAAGCTGCGGTTGTGGCAGATGTCGACTGGACAACAGGCGTTGAAGATATCGCTGAAGCTGCGGTTGTGGTAGATGTCACAGAATCTGTTGATGCAGATGATATCTGCATTGAAGCGGAAACTGTGGCGGAGGAAGACTGAACTGTTGATGATGATGGAGTATTGGTGGTTGATGCTGTGGAAGCAGGTTTAAGAGGACAGAGTACAGCAGACGATGTTTCGCTCGATGTCGTAAGTAAAACCCCACATTCTCTTTTTGAGTCGACGTTTAAAGTTCCGATTTTTCCATCTTTCGATTGCTCAATGATAAACTGCGCCAAGAGGTCACTGAACAGTTCTCCTAAGCTGGATGCTGCTTGTGGCACTACTATCTCGTAGATAAAGATTAAACTGCCGTTTCTGGAAAGATAGTATTGGAAATTTACATGTCGATTATCTCAACATAACATCACATTACATCATTACATGTCGATTATCTCAAATATTGGTCAATATCAGTTTAAATATTGGTCATTGAGTCATTAATCTTTTAACTTATGGTTAATCAGTGATGGAACACAAAGGCGGCATGATATTTGACAATGTCCGCCTTGTCTGGTCTGATGTATCGTGTGATATGTAGAGTGCTGAAAGACATTCTGTGCAGTATCACAACCAGTCAAAACTTGCATGATGTTCATATTGACAATCACCATGGCCTTCAAGAGACAGGGGCGATGGGGTAGCCTAGTGGCTAAAGCGTTCGCTCGTCACACCGAAGACTCGGGTTCGATTCCCCACATGGGCACAATGTGTGAAGCCCATTTCTGGTGTCCCCCGCCGTGATATTGCTGGAATATTGCTAAAAACGGCGTAAAACCATACTCACTCACTCACTCATTCAAGAGACAGGACAAGCAGTCTTATTTGCTGTTGATATTACCTTATCTCCAGTACTTTACAGGAAGGGTCCTTGTCCTTCAACGGGGAGCTGTCAGCAACTAATGTCTCCTTTCATCTGTAAGAAGAACGCGTCATTGTTACATGGTCCATTACTGTGATCTATCAAGCTAACATTGGTGCGTCTTCAGTATGTAAGATAGCTTACTCTTTAAATAAGATATTCGTTCACTTTTTCTACACGTCACAATTTGATAATTATTATATTGCTTGTCGGTTTGATTAATTCATCATACCTGGTTGCAGAATTCTGTGGCTTCCGCCTTAAACCGAGGACTTGAGGGATCGGCGAGTTCAGACGTGTACGTCTTATCCGTCACTCGGAGACTGGACTGTAGGCGTGCTGGCAACAAGAGATCAGGATTAGAACTTGGGGATACCTCAGGGTCACACAATCAGCTATCTCAGTTCATTGTTATATCATACAGCTAGATAGTTGTGCTGCCATAGGGCCCTGTTTAGGCCTTCAGCTTTCTAATGTTTGGTGTAAGAGGCGACTGAATTAGGTGTAAGTGTGCTAGGTGTAAGAGGCGACTGAATTAGGTCATCCTCTGCCACGGCGACCATAACGCCAATCACAGGTCAGCCTAGCCCGGGTCATGCAAACCACTGTGATAAAACAGACATACGTTCACTGACTTGACCAGTGTTATGAACACCTTTATCTCTTACCTGTACTGCAGTCAAGAATATATCAGGTTGTACTCGGTGCATGTAGACTTGGTGAGTTTTATTCATTGTGTACAAGCGTCAATTTTGGCTTGGTTTTCTAGTCGATTCGGAACACAAAGCTTCATTACTTCCTGATCATTATTTACAGTTTGTATATTTATATAACCTCTGAATTTTCGTATACATTTTCAGCGAGAAGGGGGAGGATGGGAGGGGGGATGAGTGTTTCTTTCTTTCTTAATTTTTCTTAGTAGCTAATGTACTTACCTACTGGAGTTGGTTCGGATGGCTTCTGGGTAACTGAAACGTTCATCACAAATGGAGTTATATAGTATTTTCTTAGATAAAAAACATTGTTAACGTCGATCGAAATATAAGGATTTTTTATGAACGTTTGCAAAAGTATGGATTACATTAACTTTCTATTGGGAAGTTAGAGAGTACTTGACAACTGCTTTTGATATAAATCTGTATTTTCTGTGCATTACAACATCGTTACAGGTGACTGTCGATGTACACTCACGGATGACGGACACAATGATGGAGCTGACGATGATACCGACGAGGAGAAAAAGGAGGACAACGAAAGCGCAGACTTTCCGGTTGGATCTCCTGTTCGCTGAGTCGTCACTGGAGGTGTCGGTTGTGCTGGCACCATCCTTTTTAGAGTGATACGTCGGCACAGGCATCACGACGTCACCATTCCGAGGGGTGTAGTAGAACCTGTAGGCACCTTGAAGTTCCTGGTAGTCCACATCGTTATCGTATGCCAGCATAGGGTTGAAGTACTTGTCCTCCTTTGCGTTGAGGTCCTCAGAGCTTGAATTGAGGTTCGACAGATGTGGCCACTGAAAATCATAGAGTGAACGATTATGTTTAAAGTGCAGTTGTATCGCGAGGTTATACGGAGACAGTAAGGCAGATGTTAGACGTGTACCAATTTAGTGACCCACGAGCCAAATATGGCGCCTGAAATCAAGTCAAGGTGATCCAGGCATAAAGAAACAAGCTGTTGCGTCTTAAACTACTAGGACAACTCTCTTCCCCTGTAGATTTTGTCTGTAAGACGTGTAATGTGGATTACATCCTATTTGATGCCTTTACTGGGAGGTTGGCAAGCACTATGGGACTTGGTACCCACAGAGCGAGGGGTTGTGTGACAGAAGACTGAGGCAGCAATGGTTTCAAAGTTACAGCGGTGCTGGAACCAAGAAAAATGTAATGCGTTTCACACCATGCGATGTTAATGTAAAAGGAATGATGAAAGATCTAGACGTCTAGCAAGAACAGGAGCGTGGTGCTGATAAACCAACTATTTGGATTCGAACCCAACAAGAAACAGTTTGTCAAATTTGTAACATGACTGATTGTACTGAAGATCACGTCCATTTACTGCTCACGCTGTGTAAGATGGCCATGCTGCAGGCTGAAGTTGACCTCAGATGGCCATGTTGCAGACTGACCTCAGATGGCCATGTTGCAGACTGACCTCAGATGGCCATGCTGCAGGCCGAAGCTGACCTCAGATGCCCTGACTGAAGGCTAATGTCAGTGTTGGTTCCCGTGGTGTAGGCTATAGCTTGTATTACTTGGCCCCAATCGTAGGCTGTGGTCTATGTCAGGTATGTCGTTGTTGTTGTAATAAACGCGCAATAAATGGCAGTGTTATTAATGTCTGCGTCTAAATATACCACACGTATTTTCGGACAGGTGTTTCCTTGTCCAAGACAAGATTTATTCTAACACTGTAAGGTACCTGAAATACCTGACCGATGACGCCTGTACGTGAGTCGTTTGTCACCAGGTAATACACATAAGTGACAGTTTGTCTCCGATGTGGGTAATATTGTCGGCGTTGGAATGTCAGGGCGCGGTGCTGTGTGGCAAGTTGAGGACAGGAATGTCACCACCATCAAACTGATATTGAGGAACTAACTTTGGACTACGGGATTGTTGATGTACGAAGGTGTCTACTTCTTCAAAACCGGACACAACAAATTGTGACGAACAACGCCTCCCACTGTCTTTTCGGATGTGCAGTTCCGGTTAGGAACCAGGTCAGCTACCCGAAGGAAACCATGCCACGGAGATAGTATCAAGTTGTGCCTGGCAAGTAGGGTGTGGCCATGGCACTGGATAAAGGCAGACGAGCATAAACTATTTTATGTCTAAGTGACATTTGGAAGATGGTCATGAAAAAAAACACTCTATGAGCAATCATATGCAAACAAGAGTTGTTCTATATCAACACAGAAAAGTATAACTTGTTTGAGTGGCATTTTTAGAAGTTGAGACGTACAATATGGAACAAGTTTTTATGGATAACAACTTCTTTATTTCGTGAGTGCGACGTTTCGATACAGATTCTTGTACCTCCACTTCATGTATCACTCTTGCTTGACAACGGTACAAGAATCTGTATCGCACTCACGAAATAAAGAAGTTGTTATCCATAAAAACTTGTTCCATACAGAAAAGTATGTCTCATCGGACACACCGACATTGAAACGCTTCCCTGTAGACTGAAATGTAGTCCCGGAAATAAAGTTATCGTATTTGAGAATATATATTTGAAAATCAAATAAAGTCCAAAAGGGGCCAACACCATTCTTAATTTCACAGCTGAGGTGATCTAGATATGTCAAAATATTCAACGAGTCAGTTGGACCCATTTTGTTCTCTGGAGTCTCTAGAGGGATTAACCTCCTTGGTTCATATACCTATCAATACATGTCAATTATCTGTGACGTCCGTATAGTCGTGAAGATTAACCGCCTTGGTTCATATACCTGTCAATACATGTCGATTATCTGTGACGTCCGTATAGTCAGCCACAGCTGAGGCGATCTAGATATGTCAAAATATTCAACAAGTCAGTTGGACCCATTTTGTTCTCTGGAGTCTCTAGAGGGATTAACCTCCTTGGTTCATATACCTGTCAATACATGTCAATTATCTCTGACGTCCGTATAGACGTGAAGATTAACCTCCTTGGTTCATATACCTGTCAATACATGTCAATTATCTGTGACGTCCGTATAGTCGTGAAGATTAACCTCCTTGGTTCATATACCTGTCAATACATGTCAATTATCTGTGACGTCCGTATGTCGTGAAGATCCGGGTTAGAATTGATCTTCAGCAACCCATGGTTTTGGTAAGAGTCAACTAACGGGATTGGGTGGTCAAATGGTTGACAAATGTCATTGTATCCCAATTGCGTAGATCGATGTTCATGCTGTTGATCACTGGATTGTCTGTTCCGGACTCCATAATCTACTGACCGCGGCCATATAGCTGGAATAATGCTGAATGCGGCGTTGAACGACAACCAACGAAGACCGACATATTTAATGTTTAACTGTTAAAATACCGACATCACTTCACTAAGTCATTATCTCAACGCACAGTGAGACATCTGCCATTGCCTCCAGCAAAACCCATAGAAACCCCACAACCCCCACGGTCTATGTTTCAGTCCTCTGCTGTGTATTGTTCCAATTGACGTTTTAAGTTGTAAACAAAGTTTATGACGTTGTTCTATTACAAAGGAAACGTTAAAGTGGATGGTATTTAATGGGCTTCATATATGTGTTGTGTTCTTCCCATTGTGCTGTTTCTGTCACCGACTTGCACGGTGAATGTTGTTTGACAAGATTCTGTCGACGTAACAAACCGTATCAAGCTGTTATCTCTCTAAGATTGAATATTGTCGTTTGGGCAACAATATTCACCGTGCGAGTACAATTGACGATTGTACAAATACTGCATAGAAAAGATGTCCCGGATACGCATTATGTGAATCTCTTTTTTTAAATTTCTAAAAGTCTTATTATCTGAGCGCTGCCTTCGCAAAGTTAGATATGGGAGGTAATATATCACGATCTTACTAGAACATACATCAACAGAATATGTTCAACTACAAAGAAAACTTGTAATAAAATCAGTTGCATCAGAGAATATTAAGGTATAGTTTCCCATACTACCTAGGGTGAAACCGGAGACAGGAAATGCAAACGTGAGAACGGAAGAAATTGGGAGAACCATCCGCATCATGTAATTTATTGTGATATGGCAACAGTCTAGTCCCAAACAAATCGGAGATGAACCAGGAGCGTTGCTACCATTATAAGAAAAAGCCCGGGCCTACACGTGGTTGTTGCTGAAAAAGTTGGACAAGCATCTAAACATAAGGCTTTGCAACCTATCGGGCTTACACGAAAAAATTGGCTTGCTACGCGCCTGTGAATAAACCGTACCGCCGAAGTTGTCCCGAAAATCATCTGAGATTAAATATGTTCATAGTTTTATGTTTTAGACTCACCTTAACTAAATATACCTAGTGGGGTGGTAGTCGTGTTCCGTCAAACAACGCTGGACGAGTCTGCCGGGAGGTTCCGGGGCTGTACAACAAAACTGGCACACACACACCATCAAATTGTCGATGTCGCTTCGCTTACACGGCTGTTGTACGCCAACGCCGACGATAAAAAATTATAAAAAATGTGTTTATTTAAGCCTGACGGTGTCATCTCCTGACACATGGCAGACTGGAGGCAAGACATATAGAAGGTGATGGGTGAGCTGAGAGTAACTGTCCTCTTCCTTTCATCTTCGTAAACTTGTCATCAATCTAAGACTATAGATATTCCTGGTGACGGGGGGTGACATTTATGGGGATAACCCCCACCCCATCTACCTCCCCGCGCGTGTGTGTTGATCGTCTCTGCTGCCACAAGACACGATGTCATCAGCGACAGCACGATGACATATCTTGGACAAGGTCACTGCGTTCGAATGATTATATTAAATTACACGCTGAGTTGTGAGGTTTATGTTGTAGTCCTATCGAGGGGGTACGTTTCAGCACTCTCACTTAGTTTCCTATTTGATTCTAGTATTCCTGGTTCTATTGTTTCACACATTATTTCAATTACGGATCACTAACATATGTCAGCACGTTTGCCCTGACACGGTGTCAGTTCCTAAAGTGTACTCTGTTTACAGAATACCGTGACCAGTTTGTAGTCCCGGTATCCCAGTTTGTGATTAAACCATCGACCACTCCCTTTGTGTACGAGCGTAGATATATGTGATATATGTATAGCATTACTGATAATGTGAGTGTGGATTACCGTACGACCTAAGCTGGATCTTGCCACCTCGTACACCGTCACGCCCATGGGTTTATGTGAAGGGCGTTCCCTCATCTCATGTGACAAATCGTGTCCCATGGGCGTGAGTCGCCTCACTGGACAGGGCTGACCGAGTCTGGTGAGCACTGGCAACGACTGGATACATGTGTCAGAGACTCACTGGACAGTACTGACCGAGTCTGGTGACCACTGGCAACGACTTGATACATATGTCAGAGACTCACTGGACAGTACTGACCGAGTCTGGTGACCATTGGCAACGACTGGACACATATGTCAGAGACTCACTGGACAGGGCTGACCGAGTCTGGTGACCACTGGCAACGACTGCATACAGGTGTCAGAGACGATAAATGGGTGTGGCTGACTTTATTGACATCTGTCAAACTTCCCATTTGGATAGGCTATTGATAGACCGCCGTCATGTGGCTGGAATATTGTTGTGAGCAGCGTGGAACAACAAACAAACAAACGTGTGTGGTGGTGATGTTTACCAGCTAAATATAACATTAAGAAGTAAAATGACGGTAATTTGATATTCATCCATTGTCCACAATACATCTTCGTCATGTACCTTCTATTCCCGCACTACACTGAAGTTAATATTCCTCTGTAGACAACTAAGTATCTGGAACATCAATCAATCACCTGTATGTCAGACAGACATCTTGACGCACCGAACATAGCATGCT